GGAGCAAATGGTCGGAGAAAGACATGCACGTACGCATGTAATGTTTCCCAGACATTAATGCAAAAGCAGGAGCTTTGTAATGGGTGGGTAATCAGGTTAGGGGAAAAAAAACAGGCTTTAAATAAACTTACATAGCCAAAGGTGTAACAAAGCCACTAAGTGGCAGAATCAAATTTCACTTAAACCAGAAGCCTCTGAGCTGAATGTACTTTTGTCACTAGAATATTTGGAATGAAGGGTATATTCTCCCCTAAACTGTTCCTTGTGAATTTCATTATAGTGCTTTGAAAAGATGGAATTATCTGTTTCAGAGGTTGGGTTGCATTTTGAATCTTAGACATGGCTGGTTGCGCTGTGCAGATGCTGAAATGGAGTGCTAGAGGATATTGTATTTCAGCTCCTCTTGTTTCTTGCAGCAGGCTAAAGCCTACTAACCTGTTTTTTACATATTGCCACCTGCTTCACCAAATTGCAAAGAAAATAAAACACTCTCTTGATAACTTCACAGTTACATCTCAGTTCAAGCCAGTATTAAAATCCTGCTTATCAACTAAGCAACAGAACAAGGGGAGCCATGCGATAGTCCCTGAATGAGTGAAGCTGTTTGAGTGGCATAATGAAATGTCACTGTTGTTTTAAGCCAAAGCGTAAGCTGCCTATTTCTATTACTTGCTCACCAGCATTTTGTACACACGTCCTCCCTTGAAACGATGCTGTTTAGCGTCTTCTTTTGCCAAGCTTCTCATGCACATAAAGGCGCAGACATTTCGGGGAGAGCCAGCACTGATGTTTAGTTGGCTAAAATCGGCACTTCAAGGTTTGTCTAGAGATGTGATTGGAGTGTGTTCCAACTCCAGCTTGGCATGTACGCTCATGGTGATGATACAGAAGTTCGTGGGTTTGCTCCACATCGACTTGAATACTTTCCCCATTCTGTGAGAAGATCTTCTAATATAAAAGACCACTGGACCTTTCTCAATTCCTGCATTGCACTGCACAATATTTATACACAACATCTTTTCGTTTTTGAAATGATATATCTTGTATAAAACCTCCTGAGGTTTTTAATAGCAAGACATAGCCATGTGATGCTTGGATTTTAGTGCCGTTCATGTGCAGCTGAATTTTGTTTTGCGCGCTCTGATTTTAGGTTTTGAGTTCACGTGTGCACCTAGCATACTGTATAAACTTTAATGTCTTTATTTTGATTCCTGCATTCTTAAAACCGAATGTCATAAATCCCACCTTTACATTCCAATTATCTGCTCAATTTCTGTTTCTTTTGTCACGTGGTTTAAAAGTTGACCACTACATTAGAAGTTTATTTTAGTTCTTAATCTGGTACTAAGTAGGTTGTAAACAAGAAGGGACAGATTGTAGGCCCAGTAGTCAATAACTGAAATGTCTAAGATGTTGATAGAGGGGTATTTGAACAACTTGGGGAGATCTTTTTTCTTTCCTCTTCCAGCGTGAGAAAGCTATACAGGTCCTCCTTGGTGTGTCCTTAACTGTCTCCATGGAACATCGTCAAAAGTAATGCTTTTGAACAAACCCATCCAATGTGCTGTGTTTTAAAGCTCAATTATATAACCAAAATGACAGTATAGTCTGGTCACGCTGCCCTGCAGACGTGACCTCATTAATGGCCATGATTAACACAATGACAAAAAATATATTCTCTAGAGAATTCCAGCGAAAGGGAAAAAGCACAGCCAAGTGCCAGAAACAGCACATTTGCAGACACACTAAGTCAGTAGTTAAGTGGCCCTTGAACCTCTTTCCTACAATACAGCTTTAGGCTTCTGTCCCAAGTGATTGTCTCCATAGCCATCAGCTTGCCTCCTCTGATTTGCTCACCCTGTAATTTCTCACATCCAGCCCTGTTTTTTTTTTCGCTGGACTTCTCTGAAGAAATGACAGTCTGCCTTTCACCAGGGAAAAGTTTTACTTGCACTTTTATAATTACTTTAAGTATCATTGCAGCTTTTCAACAAGCAATTTGTGGGTGTGCTTAAAACGATGTGCTTTTTTTAATGTCTCAAAAGGAAGCTCTTACGCACACAGCTAGTCTTAGGTCTGATGTCTTATACCGACACATTGGAGTGGGTTTTAGTGGTGGGTGTTGCAGTAGGTCTAGACCTTAAATTGTGGTATCAATTTAAACTCTCCATCAAATTTCCTTTCCAAAAATCTTACAGATAATCACTTATAATTCATCAGCTGGTGTTATTATTATTACTGTTAGTACATACAATATACACTCCTGTGCTGAAGACAATCAGGAATTACACTACAGTATGTGTATTAAAAATATCCTCTACCAGTGTTGCCTTCTATTATAACTTAGTGTATTGTTGAAATCTGCTTAATTTTGGTGAGAAACCAAGCTTGTCAATTCAGCAGTCTTTAATTCACATTGTACAGAATCTTCAAGAATTTATTCATAACAACTGGAAGATAAGCTGAAACTGAGCAGCCCATCTGCTATATTATAGTGGCTTATCCATCGCCATTATCTCAAATTGACCATCAAATTGAACTGACTCATCGTCAGGTGTTCCTCATCATTAACATCATTTGTTCCTCTCTGCACATCCATTAAGCTAAAAGGCTACATTCTAAACTAAAGAACATAGATCTATCAGGCTTAGCTGTTGGCTTATAACAAAATGGATATCATTTCACTAGAAACCATTCTGCATGAAGAAGGAAAAACAATTATAAAAAGGAATTATAACAAGCCTGAAGTATGCTTAAGACTAAGACTGCACAGTGTACTTAAATATTAGTTTTTGGTTTTATTTGTAAGAAAATAGTTTCATTTACTGGAGATTAGTTAGCTTTTTAACATGGCTGTTGTGTACCTAAAATGAATGTAGAGAAGTAGAATTGTGGCATGAAAAATGTTTTTTGTAGCATTCACTACTATTACAAAAGCGAACAAATGAAGCTACATGTACTGTATGAAGGTACTTGAGTTTTGTAGTCAAATGCAGTGCAGTAACTAATAGTACTATTATCAATATTGTAATAAAATGGTAATGTCCTGTTAAGCATTTAAAGCCATTTTCGGGAGTCTTTTAATACATTTATAGATGCAGAACTCCAGAATTGGAGTTTTCAACTCCGGTCTTGGGGACCACAATCCTGCTTTCAATTCATATGAGCTCAGTTACATAATTGAACCCTTAATTGGCCTAATAAGTAACATAAGATATCCTATTTTCCGTAGAAAAAAATAAGGCGAATGTTCCGGTTAATTAAGGATACAACAAAGTAAAGACTTCAGCAGGAATGAAAACTAGTATTGGGAACCCCTAGAACCAAGATGAACTTTCAGTCCTCAAGAATAAACTGATCTCTCATGTATGATCCAGTACTTGCTCTAATCCCCTGTCTCTGTGCCTTTAGGGATATCTTGTTTCTTTAACAAAAGCACCGTGTACTGTATGTCACCCGCTTGCAGAAAACTCAGCAAATTTATTTCGTATTGTTGGACTCGGTGAACATTCAGCACTGAACGATGATCAGGTCCTTGTTAATTGAAGAACACAGTAACTCTGAAAAAGGTATATTTCTAGGCGTGGTGTATACACAGTACTGAATTATCATGCAGCCTGGATTCATTTTAAGTGAAGTGCATTTGCTTCCTACTCTACATTGGACTAAGGATTTTTTGCTTTAATACCTAAATACTTTTTCTGCTTTAATACCTAAACTGGTTAAAAAAAGGTTATTTTTAGTCTTAAAGGTGTTACAGAGAAAGGGAAATACTATGTGGCTCCAGTATAAAAAGCACTTTACTGTAGCACGACCTCCTCACTCTGAAAGATTGAAAGCAGCAATAAATTTGTGCTGCTTTGTGTCTTCTGTGGAGATTAACCTTTTACGAAAGGGAAGAGCAACGAAAAGCACACAAGCGCAACTATATTTAGATCTTTTGCAAATATTTCAGAATTAGATTTGACTAAAAAAAGACCATTTTCCTACTCTCATGCTCTTTGTGTATTTTTCATGAAGGATTGCCAGGTTAATGACAGTATTCCTGGCCAGGGAGATTCCTCTAGGATTACAAGGGCGAAGGGCACTTTGCTTCTTTACTGGTGCAATAAAAAATAAAAATAGTTCAATAAAGCTGTGGCCAATTGAAAGGACACGTGATATGATAATATTCCTGAAGATGTTATTCACCTTGATGTTCAGGTGCCAAGCTGTACTAAAAACATTTTCAAACCTTTGTACTACTAGATACCTGCTCCCGATTGTATAAGGGATATTACTCTTGGACTGTATTAGGTACTATATAACTTCTGTTAAATCGACTGTAATGTTGTTTAGATCAGGGTGTACAATACTTTAGCTTTACATTGATTTGTCAGTTGTCAGTGTGTGTACAGCAATAAAACTAGGGAAATAACAATACTGTATTCGTGTATTGGCTATGCTACACTACATCAAAATGTCTTTATCACTGAAAGTCTTCTGTTAATGCACTTGATGATGCTGTTTGAAATGAGAGTCCATTATATATTGTAAATCAGGCGTACTCTGCAAACGGTTCATGTTTGTCCCTGAGGATAGTTATAGTGTCTGTGATGAAACACAGCTAATATTAGGTCAAACAAACTTTAAAAAAGTACAAGAAAACATGTTATTCTGTTGTCTGGCAACACTGGAGCCTATTACGTTTTACAGGGCTTCCTGTTCCCTTTGCTTGGATGAGCTTAAGGACTGGATAGCTTTAGCTACGTAATAACCTGACAGCTTGCAGGTGGGCAGGTATACCTCCAACATATATCATTTCTATTTGAGTTACAATATACTGGATCCAGTCAGACAGAACATGTAATTAAGTCAAAGCACAAAGCATCAGTTTTTATATTATTTTGCTATGTCTGTTTAGCGAGGTCATTAACTTTAACAAATGCATTCATGTATGTTCATGTGGCGATCACTGTTTGACGTTTTGAACATAAAGATTTCTGTCTTCTTTTTTTCAGGTTAAATTTTCTGAAGAGGCTTCAGGACCTTGAGCAGTTTGAGAGTACAACACCAGGGCCCACAGCCAGCCCAAAGGATTCCTCAGAAACCATCGTGGAACCCATACGTGAAAGGTTGAGACTTCACCCTATCTATTTACACGCATTCAAACAAAATAGCAGGGGCAGCAGCTATACCTACGACGCGCCTAAAGTCGATGCCGAGACAGATGCACAGCGGAAGGTGTCCAGGGGTCGTCGCCATGCCCACACAGGTGCACGGGGTCACCACCCACAGCTGATGCGTGTTGGCTGCGTCTTGGGAACCTGCCAGGTGCAGAACCTGAGCCACCGGCTGTGGCAGCTGATTGGGCAGAGCGGACGCGAAGACTCCTCTCCGGTCAATCCGAAAAGTCCACATAGTTATGGGTGATCCAACTGGACCAAAACAAACACACAGAAGAAGTGTCATATATAGCAAAAATGCAAACACTTTGATTTAGATTTTTCCTTTGTTTTGCAAATGTAGTTCTTGTCTAGAGAATAATCATCTACATTTCCTGTGACTCTATGGAAAGAACGAGACTACTATTAACTGTTATTTAACATGTTCTGTGCCTTATTCATTCATCAATACCAAGACATCAGCAATAAAGACCCGTGTAGCATAGGTTTCTGCAACCAGCTGACTGAGACGGCTGAAGCTGAGTTTCCCACAATCCCTCTCATACCTTCCACCCTTCCTGTTAAAATGAACAAACCTTTAGAGTTGGTGAATTCATTTTCAACCAGTATCATAAGAATTGCTAAAAGATATTCTGAAGCTTTCAGTTTTATCTATGAGTCATCTGGAGCTCTAGGTCCAAATGGAAGAATAAAAGTCAGTTTTACAATCATTTTCTGACATTGGATATACATCTCATGCCTTCAGGGTTTAATGACATCTTACAGTATTTGTAATGCCAAAATTAAAGAAACAACAGATGCAGGAATGCAGTACTCTGATTGATCAAACTCATGTTAAGACTGAAGCTCCATCAAAACATTGAGAAATGCATTCCAAGTGACTAGTGCTGATCAGTTAATATGCCCTCCTACCATGAACTGTTCAACATCTGATACTGAGGTGCAGCCACCACCACTGAACCTGCTGTACATCAGCACAAGCACAGACCTGGCTAATGTGACCTGTTAAGAAAAGTGTCTGGTGGTGCGCAGAGGTCGCTCTTGTCAGCACTTCAGTGTAGCACACTAGGTGGTGAATATCTCAATTACTCTAACTGGGCATCAGGCGAGCAAGAAGACTCGAGTAAAGCCTCATTTTAACACCCAGTGATGCGTTGAAGCTGTATGTACTGCCACAGGAAGGTTTCTGAACTCAGCAAAATAAATCAGGCTAATAGTCAAGGCTAGGGAGGGTTTTGAGTGAAGTTCAAGGAGTTCATTGCCTCTGTATTTAACCATTCCGTCTGTGATGCGATATGTCTGAATTGCAGTCAAGTTTCACTGCAGAATGTGGAAGATGGTAGACTCAGTAGAACTACATAAGAAAAAACACAGCCAATATCAATTTTATGTTGGTTCAATGCACAGGACGTACAGAAATAATGAGCAAGCAGATGTGGTCCTACTTGGCCTTATACCTTAAGGTACTGACATTTATTTGCATCGTCCTATCTCTATTTCTAGGGGAACATCCAAAAACACTGTAAAATGAAGTGCATGCATACAAAAGTAAGAAAGAGTGACTGATTCATTTTAGAATCATAAAATGATTTTATTGCTGGCCTTTTACATTCTGTGAGCACTAAAGGTCTATCGATATCTGGTGCACTAAGTTGAATAATCTTTCTAAAATTCCTTGAATAACTTTTCAAAGAATTTGGTTTTGGGCAAATTAATGAAACACAGTCATAATCCAGCAAAGGTTTTATCACCATGGAGTAACTTTTCTTTATGCCTGATTTGTATTGCTTGTGCTGGAATTTGTAAACACATACTGTAGGTTGAGCTATTCCTGCCGTCCTAGGACTGATTAATGCATGACTAAAATTCATATGGCTTGGATTAGTTCTAACTAATAAGGAACAGGAATCTGCTAAAAATAGTCAATTAATTAGTAAAACACTGTGAACAAAATATGTTCTAGACGTTTCCTAATTTTATTGTATGTGGCAGGTAGCTGTGCATTTGATGGAAGACTGAATTAAATGATAAAAAAAGAGTGGTGTTTAAGAAGTGGACACTGGGATTTTAAGACTGGACTGGACGTGCATGTTAGGATCTATCTAAAATGGTTTTCCTTTTAGCAAGAAGTTTATGATATGCTTTAGATCATTTAACTTATTTCTAGATTGTATTTGAATGTTCGAGCCAGACACTCATATTTGCAGTCTGTACCGATTTGGATCAGCTAAATCACAGACATATCAAACAAAAGTTTTGGAACTGTGTGTCAAATAGGAATGTTGATCCAAAAAGAGTCTTAAAGCATGACTGGGGCAGAGTTAGCAAGGTTTTTTTTTTAAAAAAAAAACAACGCATCAGAGTCTTTTATAAAAATCCTAAAAAATGTTGTACGTGTCATGTGTTTCAAGCAGACAGTGAAATTAGCATTAAGCAGAGTGCTAAGACCTCAAATTTTCTTCTCATTATGGGTTTCAAAATAAATGACCAGCATTTACCAAATTTAAGGATAGAGGAAGCCAAAGGTTATATCTGTTTCTGACACACTGTACATGCTGTAAAAATATATATATTCCGCAAGGCTTTTCTTCTTGTAAAGCGAGTTTTTAAATTATGGGTTTTCTCACTAAAAATAACAAAGCTGTCTACATGGTAGGAACTGGCTCCAAAGACATCAATCTTAAAGTACACATTACAGCAAGAGCATAGGTGCGTGACATTTCAGAATAAGATGGTTTAATTCACCACTTTAAGGAAGATTATGGATGGCAGTAACAGTATTGATAATCTTAAAGTAGTCATTCACTTGAGCAGGAACTTTTAACTCAAGATTGGTAGATACAGGTCCAGTTCTTCTCAGTTATTATAGTGTAGAAAACCTGTTCCCAGGACAGTATTTTGCTTAAATTAAAAAAAAAGTTAATTCAAGAAGCTAATAAATATACATGTAAATTAGACTTCCTGAAATGGAAAACAAAGCTTTAACCTCTTTATTTTATTCCTCCTTTTTGGAGAAGATTAGAATGTGAATACTCAATAATGTCTAAACCTTTTCTGAACATACTGTATATGATAATAAAATGACAGACTTTAAAAATAAATATCAATGCAAGATACGGTACATGTGGGCTATAAAATAACCATTTAACTTTTGTAAGAAATAAAAGGGAGTTAAAGCTTTGTAGTTCATTGGAAATTTTGAGAATTGGTTTAACAGTTTTAAAAAGGCATCTGGGAGTTCTAATTATGTCATTTGTCAGCTTCATCAGTATTTTAAGATATTTACTACCTTACTACTAGCTTTGAAGCAGACACGCCAGTCAAGTTCAGCAGCTGCTCACTGAATACCTGACAGTACTTGACAAACTTTCCACTTTCTTGGGGTTTCCAGCAGAAATGTTTTGGTGAAACTCTTTTAAACTTGTTTCCTCTCATTGTTCAGCTTTTCCTGATGACTTTGTTTTTCCTTCAAATGCAGATTGTTGTGGGTCTGTCAATGATTTTAGTTGCTGGAATCATAGGATGGAACTTGACCTCTTTAAATCAATAATGAAAAGTTGCTTTTCTCTTTCTAATCATTTGTGATATTTCATGGTAATCATATTCATTGGATATTAGTATAGGAATGTCTAGTTTTGGAAAGGTTTGTAAAGCAATTAGTGCTTCTAAAAAAAATTATTTGCTGTATTGGATATGTCTCGTGACTTATAATTAAAATGCTTTTAAATACTTAAAACCTGTTGGTTTCCGTACTTTATAGACTTTAGTGCTCAAGAATAGCAAGGCAAAATGAAAAGCTTTATGTGTTCTGGAGAGTTGAAATACAAACTGAACTAGCACTTACTGTAGATTTTCTTCTTTGGTAGGAAGTATGGTGAAGTGTATCTTACTGTGGCAGCTTATTTAGAAGACCTTTACCCCTCACATATTGAGAAAAACATATTACATCACATAACATCTCAGCAAGGAGCAGCATATTTTTTCATGGTCTCTGAATCCTTAGTGAAAAAAAAATCAATCCAGTTATGTATCAACTATAAGCCAATAATGCAGAGTTTTGGGTTATCTACTATTTATTTATACCTTTTTATGTATATTTTGTCAGCATTATAAAATAACACTTTTTGTCTGTAGATACTGATGAGAAAAGTTGTTTTTAATACTTTAAAGCTATCTGCTGTAAGTTTTGCTTGCTGTATATTGCACTTAGGGATGAAGGAGTGAAGTGAAGTGTTTTATGGAGCTGGATACTATGAAATTATAATCGGTACTGTATTTAGAGCCCTTGCAATCTTTAATTGATAAGAAATGGCTTCATTTCTTTTAGACAGAGGGTATGGTATGTCTGAAAATTGATCTTTATGAGGGTGTACCTTAGTTATTTGCTAAAGTTTCATCACCAACATTTGCATTAGAAAAGTCATTAATCTTTTTTCTAAAGAGAGCAGGTGGCTTTGTTTGCATACCTAATCCATGGCCTGACAGCAGAGGCAGGGTCTGTGAACTAGATTATTTTTATTAGGATCGCTACACTCCAGATATTTTACATTGCAATTCTCACATGCTTTGAAAAGGTCAATGGTCTTTAGGCAAAATATTAAAGCACTTTAAAGCAACTATATTTTGTTAAGTTCTACTTGAATTTAAGACAATGTTATTTAATTTTTAAATTAATTAAACAAGTTGTGTTGTATATATTGCATTAAGAAAACTGTATATATATTATTCAATGAATGTATTACATCAGTATATTCTAAGATTTGCATAACTAACTTAGTCAGCAAACCATTTATATTATGTATACTTTGTTAATATATTAGTTGTAATATTTAATAAAAATATTATGTTGAAGTTATTTTTGTATGTGTGGATTTATGTGGTATTAAATAGGCAATACTATCAGATCATTAAAATGAACCTACACATCTGTAGGTGCTATGTTTGCAGAGAAGTATATATTTTAAAAGCCAAAATGAAACATTTACTGAAATATATTGTATACATGCTCATTGCAAGCACCTGTAACATAGTACACTGAAGTGCCATAAAGTAAAATCTTGAACATATTCATGTTTTCTTCTGTTCGTTTTGGGGATTACATAGTGAATAGAAGTAAATTTAATTTACATTAAGTAAATTCTTATTTTGCTTAATTCTGATTAATTTCATTACTGATGTGATAACACTTTCAAATTCTCCATCCACAAAAATAGTCTGTATTTATTTTATGAAGGTGTAAGGGTTTTAACCAGTAAGCATAGTGTAATGTTGCTGTGCAAGAATTCATCCATTCATTGACATTCATTTAAAAAACTTTGTTTTGTAAATCTTTTTTGAACACTAAACCAGAGCTTTCCTGCATTTCACAATTTCTCCACAAGAAACATTCAAGGAATCCCATAAATGATTGCTTTTTCCTTTTAATAGCAAACACAACAAAAACACTTACTGCGGTTGAGTGAATTCTGTTCCAAAGGTAACATCATAGCTGCACAAATTTGCAAAAACAGCAGGATCTTCCATTGATTTTAGTCTGGTTCACAGAGACTGCAGTATCTAGCATGACCTAAAAGTCAAATGAAATGTGAGAGAGGTCTCACATGAATAAAGTGGATATTAATAAATATGGTACAGTAGTTCAAAAACATGTTGGAAACCTGCTGGACCGCGAGGCTCAAGAAGCGAAGCTGAAGACCTCTGATCAACGAATTCCCTCTGATTAAGGATTTTAAACCCTGGTCTTGGAGCACTACAGTTATTGGTTTCAACTACTTAATTGAAACACAAATCTCGTGAAACGAATCCTTTGGTAGTCATCTTTCAATTGGAAAAGTTTGGATAAATCAAATTTTTCTTCAGATAAGGTGTCAAAATCTGACATTTAACAAAAGCCACCAGTCACAAGGTCTCCCACCTTGTGTAACATTATGGTAAAACAAAAAGTGAAACAATATGGAGACTTTGCTTTTAGATAGACCTTAATTCAATGCAGGATTAGCCTTACCGTTCTTGCACGGAAGATTTGAATACGTGACCGGTGACATTATGAAACTTGAGCCAGAATCATTTACTATCTTGTATGGTTTTCTTTCTCTTCGGAACCATGGAATGTACAAGAGAAAAAAAAGCAATGATTTAATTGCACATGAACATACTGTTTGTGTGACAGATGGTGGTACCTAAATGCAGCTACAGTACTACAGTACCTTTGCTTGTAACTGACCATGCTACCGCGAAATTATTAGTGTGCTAGGACCTTTTTCCAACCCAGCAGCAGGTTTTTATCTCCCAGAACACCAGCACGCCCACCAATCAGACATTCAGTAATTTACTCAACATTTCCTTCATTCGAAGTCATACTTCGTGGCAACCCCCATCAACTATGCAAAGCCAATGCAGTAACCCTATCTGTGGATGGTACTGTACTTAAGTTTCAATCTAAAATGAAGAACCTTAGTGTAATATTTGATCCAGGCTTGATCTGATCCACATGTGCAACATATTATAAAAACGTCATTCTTGAACCTCAGAAATATCTCCAGATCATGTCTTACATTATCGTTAACTATTGCTGAAAAGCTGGTCAACATTTTTTTCTCTGGAAGTGATATTCAGCACCCAGAATCCTGACTGGGTCTAGTGCAAGTGATCACATTACTCCTACTATCAGGTTTCCTGTCGACTTCAAAATCCTCTTGCTCACCTATAAGGTTCTGCATGGCTTGGCACCTCAGTTCGGTCTGAGCTGATATAGTCCTGCAACCTCGCAACCTTTGCTTGTCTAATTCTGGTCTCCTGTCTGTCTCCAAGCCCGTCTACTGTCTTCTCCTGTTATGCCCCGAAGCTCTGGAATTCTATCCCCAAGGATATCAGAGAGTCACTTCTTCCCTGAGTTCTTCAAAACAAGATTCAAAACTTTCTTCTTTAAAAGGGCCTTTATTTAACTGCTTCTGAGTCTGGCCCTTTGCTTTCCTTCTGTCTTACAAACCCTCATTGTAAACTGTTTAATTCTGCTACCTCCTCCCATTGAGTATTTTGTAACTTTCTTTAAAATGCTTCGATAAGCCACTTTTCAAGGCACCATATAAAAACAATGTTTATTATTTAAATCTACCCATCACACAAAAGTATGAGTAATGAAGCCAATTCAGAGATGGGGAATATAAGGAGGCCATGATTGGTAAGGGCCAATGGGAAATTTGGCCAGGACACCGGGGTTACACCCCTACTCTTTATGAGAAATGCCCTGATTAATGATCACAGAGAGTCAGGACCTCAGTTTTACGTCTTTTCAGAAGGATGGCGTCTTTTTACAGTTTATTGTCCCTGTTACTATACTGCGGCATTAGGACCCACACAGACCGCAGGGTGAGCACCCTCTACTGGCCCCTCTAATACCTCTTCTAGCAGCATCCTTAGTTTTTACCAGGAGGTCTACCATCCAGGTGGGCTGCCAGTTGTGAGTTGTAGGGTGATATGGCTGCTGATCATAACAATGCTGAGGCCTCCCTTCACTGCTTTCTAAAGGGTCCCTCTTGTCTGAGTTCTCTCCTGGTTGCTATGGTTTCTTCCAGGTTGATTTGTCTCCAGTCTTCTGTATTTGTCCTCTGTCAGTGGGCAGGGGGTGTGTTGATGTCTTCAGTGTGGGCAGAGCTAACTGCTCGGGATTCCTTGATCAACTGGTCGTATAAAGATGCATTGTGTATTCGAACTCTGTTCCGGAGCCCCCCACCCAGTCCAAGACCAGTAAGACCTCTGATCTGTGTGGTGATTACACAAGGTGGACTTTTGATTAATGCAAGGAAGCTTAAAGAACAAGGCGAAAAACACATCCACCCTTAGGAGGCACTGGTCATTCAATGCAAACTCAAAGTCAACAAAGACCCAGACACCTTTTGGTCCACACCCATCTATTCACTCTGTGACATACTGTATGTCCATGGTTAAATCAGAAGGCCACACTGCATTCAAAGTAAATATACGTCATTTCATTGAAAGGCTCTTTAGTACATGTAGGTCTTAACAGAATCATGCGACCTGAAGCTCTGCCAGCTGGAACAGCTTTGCAGAGAGAAGTGCAGGAAACATCAACAGAACAAAGAGGTGCTTAATGTGGTGTGAGCTTTGTTTCCGGGTCACCTTGACACACTAGCTAATATCACATGACAGTGAAATCACAGCTGAGAGGTTTCCATTACCTGCTGGGCCCCAATTAGGTATGAAAGTAGTACATGCACCATCATTACATGAGCAAAGCTGCTTATTTTTCTCTTCTGATTTAGGTTCCTTCTAAATTGAGATTCCATTGAGAAAAAGCAAGTTGCTGTGCTCATTCGGGCAAGTCCTTAAGCAGTTTGTAAAACCTGAAAGACCTGTTTGAAAAATACCCTGTAGACAATTCCCATAAATTTTCAGTTTCATGGATTCCAGAGGCAACATCGGTGTCTGGGACAATTCACGTGGTCTTTCTGTCACCGGTACCAAGCTGTTGAATCCCTCCTTGTACTGCAAACCAAATGATCATTTAGTGATATTTATAATTATTTGTAGATATCTTCTAACATATCTTAAAGATATCATGAAATCCATGCGAGATGTCCACAAGAGACGTCCGCAGATGTCTTTAAATGATTTGGCTTGCCATCCTCCCTGTGCAATGTGTTTTACAAAGGAACTATCAGGTTCTGAACCTTCAGTTACACTTGCCACATTTCTGTCATCCCTGTGTACTTAACATAACACTATTGTTTAATCCTTCAGGGCCCTTTCTCACAAATAACAACCACAATACGGCACCTGAGTCAGTGCAGACGTGTTCCATTGCAGATGTTTCTATTAAATAAAAATGGTTTTGGAGAGAATGGGTTACATCTGCCCAATACTACTACTTGTTTCAGCTGAGATCTCCCCCAAACCACTGTGTCTAGTTTCCATATATTCTTTGACAGCCGTGACAGGATCCCACCCCAAGCAGATCACTTCATTGAACTGCAGATCACACAAAGCCAGTAATGTATGATTCTGTACCAAAGAATAGTGTATGTGTATTAAACAATACACGAGCACTAAAGCTACTCCAACAGAGCCGGCCCATGTAGTAGGACTATAGAAAAATACGGCAGCATAAATTACATTTAAAAGTACAGAGATTTATTACTATGCATTCTTGTATATAACAGTTCGAGTAGGTAGCTGCGTCAGCATGCGTAGGCTGCAAAGGAACAAGTAAAGGTTTATTCCATGCTGAAAAGAGAAGAAAAGAAACACAACATTTCAGCTCTACAGCATTAAATAAACCTTTTATTTGTTCCATGTGTGTAACATTTCAATATCGTATTTATTATATGTTTATGTTTGTTAAAAGTTCAGCAAGTGTTCTTGATTAGGCTCTGAGCTATATTTGTGCAATATACTTAGTAAAAAGAAAGCACAAAAGGAGGAGGAGAATAGTTAAAACAAATTAAAAAAGTCCAGGATATCACTTTTAGGCCCCCTGAAATACATTGATTTTCTACTGAGCACACAAAAAAGGTTAGTTTTTTGCAGCTGATTTTGAAGTTTATTTTGTTTAACAGGGATGCCTCAACGTGAACCACATCTTTTGGTTTGGAGACACATGGGTTTATTTGAGACGCATACCAAAATGCTTTAATTTATGCTGTCACTTTTAAAAATACACTTTCACTAAATTAGAATAGGAGACAGCTTTGGATGATTAGGTGCTGGCATTTAATAAGCCCTTTAATTTTTACCCAAAAATGAATGCGTTTGCTGTTTATATAGATATCTTTAATGGAAAAACTGTGACATTTGTGAACATGAGTATAATTCTTAAAAGCCTATTAAAGGTAAAGT